AGAGGAAGCAGCAGGGGGCGCTGCAGAGTCAGAACCATCTGTATTCCCAGTAACTCTCAGTTAAAGGTTCTCCTGTCTGCATCATATAGATCTACTTCTGTTCTGCAGGAGATCAAGCTGGCCCAGAAACGAGCTCAGAAGTACTCTGCGGTCCCAGACATGTGGTCCAAGTGCTTGTTGGGTCACTGTTACGGCCTCTGGTTCATCTACCTTCCCACCTTCGTCCGGGCCGAGAGCTCCAAGGTCCGGGCCCTTCACACGGCCTACAACGTCCTCAAGCACATGGAGACCCGGAAGGTGGTGCTGCCAGATGAGGTGAGACCAACCGGGCTTTGAAACACTCTTGGTTCTGGTCACAGAACGCGGCTGTGAGTCACAGAATGACAGTAACGACACCCACTATGTGTACATCAGGTGTGTTACCGCATCCTGATGCAGCTGTGCGGTCAGTACGGTCAGCCGGTCCTCGCCGTCAGAGTCCTGCTGGAGATGAAGAAGGCTGGAATCACTCCCAACACCATTACCTACGGATACTACAACAAGGTCGCTCATCCTCATCTTCCTATATGTAGTGAGGACCGTGTGTTGACATCAAACATAACAGCTGGAAAACCAGCAGAATCAAAAACTGGTCCTCACTCTGATGCCAAAACAGGAACACACACACACTCATTTTAAACCTTTTTCTCTTCAGGCCGTTCTGGAGTGTAAGTGGCCATCGACCAATCAGGGTGGTCGTCTTCGCTGGGCTAAGCTAAGGAACGTCCTATTGGCTGTGTCCCAGTTCAGACAGCCAATCAAACGACGGCGGAAGAGCGGTTCTGTGGGCTCCAGAGGAGGTCCAAAACTTCTCATTGTTCTCATCCTGCAGATACAAACACATCAGTGCTGTGAATGGTGAAGGTGATGTGATTTTTTTATGTTTCTATCCTAGAAGCCATGATAGAACCTGGCCAGAAGCCCCGCCCACAGTCCGCTCTGATTCGTCAGTCTAGCTGGAGCGGCCTGAATGAAAGCTCCAGTCACGAGTCTCTGAGCGGGTCGCTGGTAAAGAGCTGCAGCCTGAGCAGCATGAAGACGCCTGGCAACAGTAAGCTCTCTGTCCTCGGAACCGCAGATTGGAACCAGACCAGAACCGCTAATCAGAACCAGCAGAGACCAGTACCACAGATCAAAACCAGATCAGAACCAGATCATTTTAGGGCATTTTGAACATGTTTAAACCAACTCAGATCGCAAATCTAAGAGTTAACTAAAACAATATTTGTTAAAATAATATTTTATTGAATGATTTGCTTAATTGGAAATCTGTAAACTTTTAGTTAATTGATTCTTAACATTCTGTGACTGTTCCTTAGCTAAAAAAGGTCAACCTAGCTTACTTTTGCTTAGCTCATGAAACTATGGAGGTAGTAGCTTGGAGATAATAATTCATTTAAAAAAGACTGATCAGATTTAGCCAATCAAATGTAATGACTTCATCATAAAACCATAGGTATGGCTGCTGACAGCTGCTCGTGGCAGCGACAGTGGAGAGGAAAAACTCCCTTTGAACAG